AACTGTTTTCCACAGTGGCTGTTTCCTACCAGCAGTGTATAATCATTCCCTTTTCTCTGCAACCTCACCAGCATCTGTTATGTTTTTACTTTTCAATGATTGCCATTCTGACCAATGTGAGGTAATATCTCATGGTGGTTTTGATCTGCATTGCTGTAATGATTAGCAATGTCAAGCATTTTTTCACACGCTTGTTGGCCATGTGTATGTCTTCTTTTGAGAAGTCTCTGTTCATGTTCTTTGTTCATGTTTAATGGTGTTACCTGTTGTTTTTACATATTGACTTGTTTAAGTTTCTTATAGATTCTGGATATTAGACCTTTGCCAGATGTATACTTTGCAAGTATTTTCTCCCCTTCTGAAGGATGTCCCTTTACTCTGTTGATAGTTTCTTTTGCTGTGCAGAAGCTCTTTACTTTAATTAAATTCCGCTTGTCAATTTTTCTTTTCATTGCAATTGCTTTTGGGGTCATCATAAAATCTTTGCCAGGGCCTATGCCCAGAATGGCATTTTCTAGGTGTTCTTCTGGGTTTTTATTGTTTTCGATTTTACATTAAGTCTTTAATTCATCTTGAGTTGATTTTTGTATATAGTGAAAAAGATCCAGTTTCAGTCTTCTGCACATGACTAACCAGTTATCCCAGCATCATTTATTGAATGGGGAGTTGTTTCCCCATTGTTTTTGTCAGTTTTGTGAAAGATCAGATGGGTTGTAGGTGTGGGGCCTTATTTGTGGGCTCTCTGTTCTGTTCCATTGTTCTCTATGTCTTTCTTGGTGCCAGTATCATGCTGTTATGGTTACTGTAGTCTTGTAGTATAATTTGAAGTTAGGTAGTGTGATATCTTTGGCTTGGTTCTTTTTTCTTAAGATTGTTTTGTATGTTTGGGTTCTTTCTTGGTTCTATATGAATTTAGAATGTTTTTTTCCAATTCTATAGAAAATGTCATTTGCCAAACTGCTTTCCAAAACAACTATAACATTTTCCATTCTCAGAAGCAATGTGTCAGAGTTTCAGCTCCTCTGCACACTTGCATCTTTGCTAGTCGTTAATAGTGTTGGGCTTTTGCCTTTTGTTTTTTTAAGCTATTCTAATAGACATATAGTATCACATCATAATTTTATCGGCAAGTATCTAATGACTAATAATGTTGAGCCTATTCGCATGTGTTTATTTCCCATCTAATTTTTTTCTCTTCTAAAGTGTCATTCAAATCATTTGCCCATTTTTATTGGGTAATGTTTTTTCTCTATTACTGAGATTTTAGTGTAATGTATATATCCTAGATATAAATCCTTTATCAGACACATGTTTTGCAAATTTTTTTCTCCCTGTCTGTGGCTTATCTTTCTGTTTTATCAACAATGTCTTTTGAAGATCAGATTTTAATTCATGAAGTTCAATTTATCAATATTTTATGGGTTACACTTTTGTGTTACATCTAGACAAGTTTTGCCTAATATTAGGTCACAAAGATTTTCTACTATGTTCTCTTTCAAAAGTTTTATGGCTTTAGGTTTGGCATTTTGGTCTGTGGTCCATTTTGAGTTAGATGTTTAATTTGGTGCAAGGTATGAGTCAAGATTTTTTCTTTTTGCCTGTAGATATTCAAGTATTTTAGCATCTCTTGTTGAAAACATTGTCCTTTCTTCACTGACATACTGTTACACATTGTTGAAAATTAGCCACTCTTGTATTTGAAGACATTCTGTGTGAATTATTGTATTTTCATAGAAAGCTGCAAATACAAGTAAAGTTTGTTCTTTACTTTAAAAAAACAACAACAGCATTTTTTTCATCTTCTGGTGTATTTACTTTGCTATGCCAATTTTAGAATCAGTTTGTTGATTTCCACAAGAAATTCTGCTAGAATTTTGATTGAGATTGCATTGAATCTATGAATCAATTTGAGAAAAGATAAAATTCTAACATTATTGAGTATATCAGCCTATAAATACAATATATCGATTTAGGCCTTATTTCGTTTTTCAATACTTTATAGTTTTCTTCATATAAATCTTATGCATATTATATTAGATTTATAACTAAGTATTTAATAACTTTTGATGCTGCATTAGTGCATTCTGACCCTGCTATAAGGTGCATGCCTGTAGTCCCAGCTACTCGGGAAGCTGAGGCAGGAGAATCGCTTGAACCCGGGAGGTGGAGGTTGCAGTGAGCCACGATTGCACCACTGCACTCCAGCCTAGGGGACAAAGTGAGACTTCATCTAAAAAAAAAAAAGAAAAGAAAAGATGCCTGAGACTGAGTAATTTATAAAGGAAAGAGGTTTAATTGATTCACGGTTCCATATGGTGAGGGAAGCCTCAGGAAACATAATCACAGTTGAAGGCTGAGGGGAAGCAAGCAGCTTCTTCACAAGGCAGAAGGAGAGAGACAAGAGCACAGGAGTGAACTGGCAAACACTTTTAAAACCATCAGATCTTGTGAGCACTCAGTCACTATAAGAAAACAGCATAGAGGAAAGTGCCCCCATGGGGACTACAGATCCCTCCCTCAACATGTAGGGATTACAATTTGAGATGGGATTTGGGTGGGGACACAGAGCAAAACCATATCAGATGCTATTATAAATGATACTGTTATTTTAATTTCAATTTCCAATAGTCCATTGGTAGTATACAGAAATATATGAATTCGTATTCTGTGACCTTATATTTTGTAGCTTCTTAAATTAGTTTTTTAGACATTTTCTATGCAGACAATTTTTAGTATGCCATTTTTTATGTAGAAAATCATGTTCTCTCTGAAGAGTTGTATTGCTTGCTTTGCTGTCTATATGCCTCTTACGTATTTTTCTTGCATTTTAACAGAACTTAAGAACTCCAGTATAATGTTATGTAGAAATACTGAGAGTCAACATCACTGCCTTCATCCTTAAGTATCAAGTGTGAGACATAACTATAATTTTAGCAGTAGGGTTTTGTAGATTCTCTTTATGAGGTTAAAAAAGTTCACTTTAGTTACTATCTTTCAGAGGGATTTAAAATCATGAATGAATGTTGAAGTTTGTCAAATACCTTTTCAGCATCTATTGAGATGATCATAAAATTTTTCTTCCATAGTCTAACAATACAGTAAATTATGTTGATTGATTTTTAAAGGTTGAATTAATGTTGCATTTTTGGGATAAACCTCTCTTGATCATAATGTATTATTCATTTTGTATATTGTGAGATTAAATTTGATATTTTTTGTTGAAGATCTATGTTTATAAGAGATATTCTTTAGTTTTTTGTGTGAATATCTTTGTTTCCTGTATATCGTACTGTAAAGCTAATATAATCTTATTCTTGATTTAAATAAATCAAAATAACTAAGCAATTTTGTCTTTTTATAAGCAAAAAGCACTCTTATTATATCACTTATAATTTTGATGCTGCATACTAACTACATAAAATCTAATGGACTACAAAATGTATGATGCTAGTATTTATGCTCAGATGAAACCTTTTGAAATAAATTGTTTACCTGGGGTTATTGTTATATCAATAAAGTAAAATTTAATGTTGAAAACTAATTTATATGTATTCAGGTTGTATTAAATTTTGTAGAAGAGATCTGAACTTAAATACTTGATAAATATAAAGCTTCTGGATTTAAGTTTCAAAATTGAATGCCTTATTAGACAAATTGATAAAACTGGCAGTCAGTAAGGGAAACTGATGCAACACACTCTAATTTTGATGGAAATATGGACTAGAGTAGTTCTGTATGTGTCAATAGTCTTTTCTTATTTGAGGTTGTCTTGAAGTCATATTTCCTCAGGTAACGCTTTCCATACAGGATTATACTCTTTTTAATTGAACCCCCAAATGTAGATGAATGTGAGGGCTAGCTCTGTTCCTTGATATAAATATTTTTATTCATGTGTGCACGTCTGTGTATATATATATATAGAGAGAAAATACTTCCAATCTTACATTCTGGCGTGGAGTGAGTGTTTACATTGTAATAAAAAGACTCGGTCATCATATTCATTGGGCTTATATTACTTAGGAGCCTTTTCATGAGATTGAAAACACATGCAAACAAAATAAATGTTTAGAAGCAGTCAGAATCTTATTTTTAACCTAAGCTTCGTTTAGTCTAAAACACAGACCTGCCTGGAAGTTCTGGAGTACAGATTAGTGGGGGTGTCCACCAGGAGCCATTTTGCCAGAGGGAGTGAGGAATCTTTGTTGAAATAATTCACATAAAGATAATAGATAATAGAAAAAATAAAAGTACTTAAGTGTCCTTCAAGGAAAATGGCTGAGGGACATATATGAGTTGTGATTTTTTAGTGTCATATGGTATTTGCTATTCACCTTCTTCTGATCTATCCTCGAAAGTGAGACATAAAAAGATGGAGTCAGCCAGGTATGGTGGCTCATGCCTGTAATCTCAGCACTCTCGGAGGCCAAGGCAGGTGGATCACCTGAGATCAGGAACTCCAGACTAGCCTGAACCAACATGGTGAAACCCAGTCTCTACTAAATACAAAAAATTAGCTGGGTGTGGTGGCACACGCCTGTAATCCCAGCTACTTGGGAGGCTGAGGCAGGAGAATTGCTTGAACCCAGGAGATTGCAGTGAGCCAAAATGGCACCATTGCACTCCAGCCTGGGAGACCGAGTGAGACTCCGTCTCAAAACAAAAAAAGAAGAAGGAGAAGGAGAAGGAGAAGTCTTCGATAAAACCAAAGGAGCTCTTGAGACACAAACACTCATCACAGGACATCCACAGGCAGCCCCAGTCACTGTTACTTTGGCACTGATATAATGAAGTCTGTTTTCTTACGATCCAATAACTTTTTAACATTAAACTCTAGTGTGTAACTTTTTTTTTTTTACTTATGACAGTTCATAAAGAGAAATGTCATAAATAACAGTGTTTATGAACTATATAACTACTGTGGTAGATGTGTAAAATGATGTATTTTGGTTTGTAGGCATGTTATTCTTCCTCATACACTAATTAAATGTGTTTGGTTTTAGGTTTCCTCAAGAGCTGAACATGGGAAAAATAAGTGCCGAAATTATGTGGACTCTTTTTGCTCTGGATATGAAATATGCATTAGAAGGTAATTATGAATATTTATACTTATTCACCTACATGTTAGAGTTAAATGGTGATTTTGTGTTCTTGGCTTTAAATGTTAAGAATTGAAACGTTAAAACATTAATTATTGTGATCAATTTAGTTCTAAAACTTATTTCCATATGGTAGAAAGATAAGGTCTCAAAGTACACAAAAAGCCCTAAAGAAGTATATTCGTTTTTAATTATATGGTCTAAGTTCTGGGATCGTAAGAGTATTTCACTGATAGGATTATGCTCATATGTAAGAAAACTTGATGTAGTTCATTTACCAAAACAAGCCATATTGAGGAGGTGGATGAGTAGTTAATCCAGATATTTGTCTGCATAGACTTGGAAATAGTATCCACGGGGAGGTGGGTCAAAATTCTACCAAGTTTACACAAGAACAATGGCAGAGGTCTTTACCCGAAACTCCACTCTGAATAAGTACAAATCATACGATGTAGAAAAAGAGAAATACAGCTCTAAGTTAAATAATTCTATAAATATTCTTTGTGCACCCACATTGTGTTTACAGTTAGAGATAGAAGCATAGACCAGGTTACTGTCCTCTAGAAACTAACAACCTAGTAGAAAAATTTATTTGTACTTATTCAGTAAATATATATTGAGCCCATAGATACTAAATGACCATTGGTACACTGGATGTAGGGGATGCAACAATGAACAAGATAGCCCTGGTCCCCACCCTCATCAAGATTATGGAGGAGGGCTACAAGAATGCAAACAGTTGCAATATGGAGTGGTGAGGACTAATGATGACGGAATGACTGGAGAAGCACCTACATCAGACCTGGGGCTAGGGAACAAGGCAGGCTTACTGCGGGAAATTCTTCTAAGAAAATGTAACGTTGATAAAGACCTAAAGGATAGGTAGGAGTAAGAAGAGCTTTTGGTAGGACAGAGCACTAGCAATTAGAGAAAGCACAAGGTGCATTTGAGAAGAGAGAACTCAGTAGACCCAATGAGCAAGAAAGAGGTAGCAAGAAGTAAGACAGGAGAAATTAGCAGCGACCAGCAGACAGGGCCTTCTGGGCCATTGTGAGGAGTTTGACTCTGTGCCGAGAAAAAACGAAGTCCCATAAAGGATTTTCAGTAGGTGCATGTCTTAGATTTGCAACTTAGAAAAATCATTTTGATTACAATATGGAAAACAGGTTGCGAGAGTAAGACAGGTTTTACAGAGTTCATGTTTATCATGCTACTGTTTAATAGCTTTCCTGTACCAGGTTGCAGAGGGAACATTCAGTTTTTCTCATTTGGAAAAAAAGGTACTCAATAGATCATAATATCTAGTTTTCTGATAAAGTCAGCCTCTTCCACTCACAAATAGAGAGGCTTATCTAATCTTTAAAATCACACCAGAACTGCTCAGAGGTGCAATTCCTTACTTTGCAATGAGGTTTTTCTTCTACAGTTTATTCATGACCCAGCCCTTCCTACCTCTTCCGTCTTTGCCTCTTACTAACCACATCCTTTTACATCTCTCTGCTTTCACTGTCTCTTTGGGACCCCAACATTATCTCTTAAATCAGACAAGAACCACCAGTCCACTGAGCAAATACATTTTTTTCAGATAGCGTTCACTGCATTCTCCCACCCTCCTTGAAAGGCTATTAGGCATCTGAACATTTTTAGGGTCGATATAGATTCTTAATCTCCTCTGACAGAACCTACTATTCTCTGCTGTTCCCTGTAGCAGTTATTGGTACCACCATTTATGCAATTACTTAAGCAATATGGGTTATCATATAAATTAAGCACATATGGGTTATAAATATCATATATCATATCATATAAATTAATATCATATAATTTATAAGATATAAATAAATATATAAATAAATATATAAATATGATATTTTAATATGATATTAAATTGATATTTAAATATGATAAATATTTAAATATATTTAAATATGATAAATAAATATTAAATATGATATTTTATATGATATAAATAAATATCATATAAATAAATATCATATAAATATCATATCATATAAATTAAGCACATATTAAGCACATATGGGTTATCATATAAATATAAGTCTTAGAGTAAATTTAACTGAGGACTTACATACAATTCTTCATAACCATATTTTACATGTTTAACTATGATTCAGCATACTTCATATATATTTTGAAGATTAAAATGTTTTAGTGCATTTTAGTAGAATAGATGGTCTTATTAGTGACATTTTCAACTATATGAGATTAGAGCTTTTTGAAAATAAGAGCTATGTTAACCATGTGTCAGTCCTTAACACAAGCCTGGCATGTAGTAGTTGCTCAATAAATAATGGTTGCATGAAAATCTAAGGTGCACTAAAGCAGTGTGTAAATGAATACATATGTGTAGATTAGCGACATAATTCAGAATTATTTTCATTTATATTATAGCCAGGCAGTTGTATTTTTTTTTTTTCCAAGACGGAGTCTTGCTCTGTCGCCAGGCTGGAGTGCGGTGGCGTGATCTTGGCTCACTGGAACCTCCAACTCCCTGATTCAAGCCATTCTCCTGTCTCAACCTCCTGAGTAGCTGTTTTCTAGTCCGTTCTATATCAAAGTTACATTGTTCATCAGTTTAATTTCTCATATTGATATTTGCACAACAGAATAGTAAAGTTTTAGCTCATCAGAATGCCTTTTAGCCTCAATCCTTACCCAAAGGCTTTCTAATATATAACAATCTATTTTAAATTAGCAAACACAACCCACAGAACATATGGCAAGATGCTGCTTTTATGAGATAAAGCCACATTTTAGCCATCAAACAGATTTCACAGACTGGTTAATAAAAATCAGCTGTCAGGCTATCTAATACAAAGTCTGAAAATACTCCGTTTAATCCCCTATGTCATTTTAGTGGGGAAATGGAGATCAGGGAGAATAGACGTTGAGAAGCAGGGCAAGACCAAAGTGGACAGATGTGTTTCAGCCTCACCTTCCTCTGCTTGTTCTGCGTGTTTCTTCCCACATCCTGTCTGCCCTGCCCCTTCTTTATCTATATCTTATGAGTACCTGGTGCACTCAGGGCTTTCCAAGAAGTTAAACACACTAAAGTATTTGGGGCATCGTGGTTATCCCTTCCAAAAGATCTGAAATCAAAATAAGGAAATAAACATATTATAATTGAAAACTGGGATGGTGGGGGTTGGCAAATATATCCCACCCATATACACTGATGAGCTAGAAGTGGCCATGTGGCAATAAACATAAAAGACAATAAAATGGAAGCAAGAAATGAAACTTATTAGCATCTGCTTCTGACCTCTAAACATACATCTCAGAAATTTAGGAGATTCTTGCCTCCTTTCATCTTTACATTGAAGGAAAGCAGCAGTGTTAATTCCATTGGCCTAAACTTGGAAGCACAGATCCTCTTTCACACTTACAGTAAGTGCATTTCACAGTTTCCTCCACTGGCAGTTCCCTTCCAACCCGCGCACTCCCTCCTCCCTTGCAATTAAGTTGAAACTACTTGTTTTATATATCTGGAGTAGATAGAGAAGGCGAGCTCTGTATACCTAATCTGGAAACATGCTGACTAAAATATTTGGTTTCTAAATAACAGAAGAAAAATAGGCATCTAGGAGTGTTTGTAATGCTGTTATTCAGGTACACCTTTCACCATCTAAATCACTTTGTTATCTATTTCTGTAAAAGATAATTAAAATGTGTTTACCTGAGTAATATGCCATGCTCTTTTGATAGAGATGAATATTTCAGAGTAGGTATGTAATTAACTGGTCAGCCACTTTCTCTGGTCCAACTTAAAACGTAATCAAATGGTAAGAACAGGGCTACACTAACTTCTCAGGCTATGAATGCGGTCCCACTTGTAGTATAGGCAAATCTATTTGTTGAACACACAGCTGTGTGTTCTGATATTATTAGAAGTTCAATGGCTAATAAATTCAGTAACTTTTAAGTCTGTCTTTCTGTTATACAAAGTGAACTCTAGCAGAATCTCACGTAAATGGAAATGAGTTTCCAAAAACCCACTGAGCTGGTATTAGAATCAGGATATGGAGCATTACCTGTTTAGATATTTTTAATTAGTACATGGTCACTATATAGATAGAACACAAGGTCTTGATGGTTATTTTATCCCTGCCTGAACTCAAACTCTAAGATTCTAGTTTTATCTCATATAATTCTGACTCTTTGGTTTTGAAATAAGGAGCAACAGTGGACACTGACCTTCAAGGATTTAGTTAAGTTACCTGGTCATCTGTGTTCCTAGAAAACACTGAACTTTCTCACATTTTTTGTTTGAGATGGTATTAGAATTTAAATTTCTTGTTAACTCAATGTAGAGTCCGCGTTGTCATGGATACAGCTGGTCTCTCACTGTTGACCTTGGTACTCACTCAAGTGTGACAACTTTTTTTTCTCTCATATGTGAGGCCTCAGGAGACTATAAGGCTGAGACTAGGTTATCTTTCTCTCTCCCTTGTACAACATACCCACTTTTCTAGTTAATTGTTTTAGTAGCTAATAATTTTTTGGTGGGCTTAAGGAGTCAGAAAAGAATAAAATGAACAGATACCCTACAGTAGCACCAAAATAGTAAAAGAGAAACTCTCAGCTTGGATACCTAAAAAGTATAAGGTTTAGCGTTAGTGTGTCAGTTACCTATTATAATATAATGAATTATCCCAAAATACAGTGCCTGGCAACATACGTAAGTAGCTGCTGTTGTTGAAGAACTGTCGGGCTGGGGGATTGCTTTCCTAGGTGACATACTCACATGGCTGTTGAGTAGTTGCAGGCTGTCAGCAAGAGACCTCAGTTGTTCTCAGCATGGACCTCTCCACAAACTCCTTGACCATCTCCAAGATACAGCTGCTAGCTTTTCCCAAAGTGGGCAATGCAAGAGAAAAGGCAGAAGCTGCCATCTTTATTATCTATACTGTGAAGCCACACTCAGTCACTTCTACAGTATCTCATTGGTCGCACAGTTCAGCTTGTTCAG